AGGCGAGCGGCCAGCACTGCAGCCGCGGGACTGCGCGGCCAGAGCGCCCCGCGACCCAGCGAGGCTCAGCTCGCCGAGCAGGACTAGAGCATCTCCCCAACGCCCAGCTAGAACACAAAGTTCGCAAGCTTCGGGGCTTATTATCCTAGTGCCGTGAAGTTTTGTCATGAGTTTCTGTATAAATTGTACAAATGTAAGTTTTGTATAAATTGTTATTTCCATCGCGGTCCTCTCGCTTCGCTCCATAATGTGTAAAAAAAGCCAGAACTTAATGTAATTCTTGCATGACACAAGGAGAGCATGACCGACCTGGTTTGTGTCAGGAGAGTCAGTCTGAGTAGCTGCCAAACACTGTATATACTATATTAACACTACAACACGCAAAGGCTATATTGACACTATAACACACAAAGGCTACATTAACACTATAACATATGACACTATAACACGCAAAGGCTACATTAACACTATAACATATAAAACAAACACTATACTAAAAGCTCTCTCGTAAGAAGAAGAAAAAAACCCCCAGACAGTATCTTTAAGGTGGTGGTGAGTTTCCTTAACAAGGTACAGGTAATGTGTAGACACTGCATGGAAGGAGGAACTGGTAGTGGAAGTAGTCTTAGGAACAACCTTCATCAGAACTCAGTAAGGACTCCCTGAAGTCCAACAGCCTTCCTAAGAAATGCCCAAAGGCCATGCAACCTGCAGAGCACCAATGTGCACACCCACCTGTAAGACAGCAGCACACATCTCCTTCAGAACATCAAGACACCATCTAGGACAGTAATCATCAACCTGCATCACTTGCAGCAAATGATATTATGCAGGAACAGCTACAAAAATTCCATGGTTAAATGACACTGCCTCCATAATGTTTAGATACTTTTGACAACACAGAAGTAAGATGTGACTTTTCTTTGAGACAAAGAGCAGTATTTATGTCTTAACAAAAAAAACCCTCTTATTTATTGACTGATATAACTGATCAGACTGCACACTTTACTTCGTTTCAGAAACCCTGACAATCCTCATCTTGTCACTGCTTTTCCTCAAGAACTGCAAGACAAAGAGAGTGAATGCAGGAGTATGCCCATGAGGTTCTCATTTTTAGGAACAATGAATTTCCATCTCTCAAAGGCTAAGCAGACCTCCTACGATGTCCAAAAACAAAAGGCAATTTTCAGCTTGATTCCATAGTGAATAAATATATTTAAGAGGTTCTCTGAGATTTTTAGATGGCATTATTTGCTCCCATTCTTCAATGTCTAAGATAGTTTAAAATAACTTGCTTTGAGCACAGACAGAACAAAGAACTCCTCATCACTTTGATATCAGCCAAGCTTGCCTAAGCAGAGCTCAGTTTTATCTACTTGGACTAACACAGTGACATGTCAATGAAACATTCACCTTATAAGGAGGTTCTGTTAAATATGCATCTGAGATCTTTCTCCCACAACCACTCTCCCCATACAGACACATACTCTATGTAAACAGAACAAATCTGATCAGGCAGACACACACAAGTTTTGATCCACAGATAGGGTGCTCAGACATCCTCCAGAACACCATCTTTCTCCTTCAGAACATAAAAACATGTCCTTTTCTAACAACATAGGCAAAACAACAGGAATTTGGATGTGTAACATGATGAAAACACTAGGCACAAAATCCCAACTTAGCATCACGAAACAGTAAATGGTTTTCATATTTGCTTGTCTGGCAACCTGGACTCAAGTACCTTGTACCCTTTAGCACCTTGCAAAGGATTTTCAATTTCTTTGAAACAAACCCACTTGACTATGCCTCCAGCCCTGTTAAAGAAAACAGCTGTAAGATAATTTCAGCTTGGAATGACTTATGTACAACTGATTAAGTGTTGCATATAAAAACCGACGTAGGGCAGAAGTCTTGAAAAAGACCTGACTTTACCCCCAAGCTCAATTTAAGCATTCCCAAGAAAACAAAGCCAGAGAAGGTAATAACATTTTTACTGTGCAGCAAGGTCAAACTGAACACACTTCTAAGACTGCAATAGATACATACAGGTTTTCAAACTGACAATTGTGGACTATTAATAAACACCCAGCTGCATGATGCTATTATAGACCATAAAAGAAATTTTCATCTGGAATGTACTATAGAGCAAAAAGCAGCACAGGCATTTGCAAACAGTAGGTGCTATCAAGTGGCACACAGTTCTTAAGATGTGAGTAGTTAATCTGGGTGTCTGAAGGGAGCCAGTCTCTTCTGAAAATTCAACCTGTTGTGAGTAAGGAACAACTCTGAAATTGAGCTTAACTCTACAAGACTAACTTTCTTTGCCAAATAAAACAAACTAGCTTCAGAAATCTTTTCTGTCTTTTACCTAAATGAGGTATGAGTTTACTGCCTATTTTAAACCACTTCAACCTCACCAAGAGTGCTTGACCTTTTCAGTCAGGCATACCACAGAGTTGACTCTGACATCAAGGGAGAGCCGTATACCAAGGCCCTGCCACATAATAAACGGGATGATTTGTGTGGTCAGCCTGCATGTGTGAGCAGGGCTGACACCTCCTCAAAGTACCAAGAGCTGTTGAGGACACACATCAAATGACTCCAAGAAATACCTTTGAGACTCCCAGAAAAAGCAAAATTTGTCCTTTTATTTTTTTTCCTCCCACAGACGATTTGAAAACAGAGACAGAAAATGCTGCATGTTACACAGATTGTCTTGGGAGATTAAGACCTTTCATGGCTATCATCACCCTTCCTGAGAAGCAACAAGGCATGAACTTACTTGCACACTTAAGTGGAATCTGCACTGTTAGTAAGGGAGCTACAGAGATGCAGTGACTCAGGTGAATGGTTCTGAAGGCAACATGTGATCAGGTGGTTTTAAGTGACCAAATCCTGGATCCTGACCATTACCTAAATGCAGAATGCTGAGGACTAACTCTTCCTTTGAGTGTTCCAATATTCTGAACAAAATTTGTGCAGGAACTGAACACAGGCATAGCATAGACAGATTATTAAACTGACACACTGCAACTCTCCAAGGAGCTTTTTCTGGATGAAGACAGTCTGGTCAAGAATTCAGGAGCCAGCAAAATTAACAACATTTCCCATGTCCTTGAGTAACAGTTTTCAAAATAATGAAGCAGATGTGGGATCACAAAATTTCTGTTTACCAAGGAGATCAATCATGTCTGTTGGTGAATCACTTTTAGGAAGGAATCAACACCAAAAAGGATTACACACACAGAACATTGTACTTTCATGCAAAGAGACTCAATAGCACTGTTAACAAATTTTCAGTCTTTCAATATTTCTAGGTAAGAAGCCTATGGAATAGAGAAGAGGCAATCAAAGCTGGACAGAAAAATCTCTAATTATTAGACATCCTTTTAAAAGGAAAAACAACTCTAACCAGAGCAATTCTCTGCTGCTCATTTGAATAAAAACTAGTGATTCTGTGGGTCACTAAGACTAGTTTTTTTACAAAAACCTTTTTCTGGGACCATTTAATTTATTCATACGGAGGAGTTAAGATGATTACTAAAGTTTCATGTTTCTATTATCTACTAGGCCAGTTCTAGCAAACTTACACTCCACACTCCACTAAAAATTTGTATTCTTTCACTGTAACTATGATTGCTTTTTCCATGGGAAGATGCCAGAGATGCTAGTCTTTCTCTCTGGAAAAATGTTCTGGATGCACACTCCAGAACTCCTTTAGTAACTTAAGAAAATCTCAAAGACACACAGCAATACTGTCATTTAAGAACAGCAAATTTTTGCAACAAGGATTGTAAGACTAAGTTCATGTTAATGAACATCTTCTGAAAAACAGTGTTCTGCACAAGTCATAGAAATACACTTACAGTCCACACTGCTTTCTACAGACTGTGTAACATAAGCTATTGGTCAGTGCAAAAACACTGATCTGGGGAAGCATTTCTGTGAAGAAACATGCAATAAAACTTCTCACTTTGGATAATGTAATTCTTTAAATAAACCGAATTTAGAATACTTACCTAACCAAGTTGCAATAAGAACAGAATCAATTCCTTCTATGGGCTCACATATTCTAGCAACTACTGGATGTATTTGCTGTGACAGGTAGTACTGGATATCAATAGTAAGATTCTCTTGCTTTTGTAACTGCTCTGGAGCATACGCTCGCTGGCTGGCACTGAGACCTGATCCATCCTGAGACAGGAGACACATATGAAACAGAGTGTGAAGAAAAGTCTATACAAAGGTTTATGCTTCAAATATTATGCATTATTTTAATGCAAAATTGTTACACAATCGCTCTCTTTTGGTTGATTTATTATGCATCCAATACAAATCCAGCAGTAGTAAAAAAAACCAACTGCATTGCTGATGCTGGCATCAACTAGCAAGTTCAAGAATGCAAATCCAGCTTGTATTATTGCAGCCTACACGTGCAAATCAGCACGAGTAGACAGAGTAAACAGTCCCATCTGTCAATTCTGAAATGCACAATGAAAACACATTGTAACCATCAGCCCAGTTAAAAATACACGGAGGACATGCATTTTGGATTCACTCTGTACTAAACCAGCATTATCATTTTGCACAACAAGCAAATTCTAAGTCCTGGATAGCCAAACTATATCTGTTTTGCTAGGAAATTTATATTCTTTGATCCTATAAAGAAACAAATAGAATGAATGGTCAGAGAATGGACCATCCTTCATGGGCATGACAATACATAACAGAGGTAACAGTACTGATTTGAAACAACAAATTCTAAAACATTTAGAAATACTCAGAGAAACACATGATGACATCTCAAGCCAAGGCAGAAACACCACTCAGAGGTTAAAGTATACACTACTTTCTTCTCCAACTTGAAAGAGGATGAAAAGGAGAAAATAATTCAATTTGGGAAAGCAATAATTAAATTGCAAACAGTATTCATGGAGGAATTGAGTATCAACTCTAAAAGGACAGTACTCTTCTGGAAAATGTAAACCATTTATTTTGGAGAATTTTATTCCCAGTCCACAACTGCACTAGGAAATTTTAATTTTAATGTGTGTCAAAAATTTTAGAGCAGACTTTAAAGCAGTATTTGAGCAAGCATTCAGTAACAGAAGTTAACCTTGATGGGGGCAGGCTGGTGTGGCAGGGGGAAGTACCACAACTTTTTTTTTTTGGCTAAGTTCAGTCTTTTTTTTTTTTTTTCTTTTTTACAGCAAAATAAAAACTAATGCATTAACATATGACACCCTTTTTTCCGGTTAAGACAAGCTACTGGTTTCAATAGGGTCAGCAGCCATGGACTGAAAACCCATCACTAATAAAGACAGACTGCAAGCCATTGGTCCCTCCTCCTCCTTTCAGACAACTTAGTATTCAGAACAAAATTAATTTAGGACTATTCAGCTCATCCAGCTGCTTTGCAAAAATAATTACAATGCAATTCCTTCAGCTCCCTTCTTTCAACAAGTATATTCTTCTCTGGTATTGTGCCACTGCTCAGCCGTACCCGTGGCCCAGCTCTCATAAGTCTCTGCAGCTTTGGCATGACAGGCTAAGAACTCTCCATGAATTCAAATACAGAATATTTCAGTTTTTAAATAATGAAGGAGCTGAAACAGTGGTCCACTATACAAACCCCATTGCCAAGTTCACCAACTTGGCATAAGAGATCCCTTGGTCCACCTAGTTGAACCTACACTTTTTTTAATTAGCAAAACTAAAGTGGAGTTTATATTGTTGTTTGATAAGCATGCAGAGGATAAACACTGGAAACCAGAAAGTTCCTCAAACTCCCCAGTCTATACATCAGAGGTACTGCCAGATCCACTGACAATGAACTGAAGACTCAGGTTTAAACTGGAACTAGAATAACACTACTTAACTAGTTCCAAACAGGTAATTCAGGGAAATTTTATCTGCTGCTATACGGAAACAGTTGGATGAGCTGAGCTGATCAGTGGCTCTATGAAACTAAATTTAGTACAGAAAATTGACTGTTTTCAACTGTAACGCAACCTCACCACAAAGAAATGCCAAGATATATTTTTCCAGGAGCTGAGTTGGTTTTCTTTGCCGTATCTCAAAACAATACATAGTGTTTAGCTGCAAAGACAGGCATTTTTACCTGACAAATGATATATGACACTGTGTCTCCTGCCTTCACCTTTCGGCCTCCTTGAGAGTTTATCCACATGGCAACATGCACATGTGGCAAGCTTTTTTTGTCAGGATAATCCTGTGGATCTTTTGTCAATGCCTAAAGATCAAAGGAGAAAACAGAAACATAACTATGAGAAAAAAATTTCACTTCAGTGATGGACAACTGAGAATTCTGAAAGACAAGATTACATAGCAGCTAACTTCATCCATTTACAATTCACAAATACATCTGCAACACAAAAAAATTAACATGAAAAAACTCTTATAATGGTACTTTCCTGACATTAAGGTCTAGGTATCAGCCCTTCAAACTTAAAAAATGTCATTATTAATAAAATAAAAGGATCTTTTTACAATAATTGTCTGAAAAATGCATTAGAGTTCAAAATAATTACAATCATAATGCACTTGTTTTAAAACAAACTTGTCTTGAAGACAAAGATATTACACAAAAACCAAAAACAGAGCCAGAGATTACTCTCTTACTGCTGCACCAGTTAGGGACACAAAGTAAATCTGAATACCAAGTAGCTCAGTGTATTTAACAAGCTCTGCAGCAAGAGGATACAACTTAATTTAAATATTTCCATGCATCTCACACTACTGAGATTCCACAAAGAGTTTTTCCTCTGAAGAAAATAAAATGCTATGTTTAAATATTTACTGCTTTTGAATTTAAAAATACAGGTTTTATCACTGAGGATTCATCAAAAGAAAGCAAAAAGGCAATGCTGCTGCTAAAACTCCTGTAGAAAAGCAGAGTATTTTACTTCTTTTTGCAGGGAAGTCTTGAATGAGATCTCAAAATTACTATTAGCCTTCTTCAACAGAGCTTTCTAGGGAAATAAGCTAACAATAGTACGCTTTTATGATGGTTTTCTAGAAAAGAGAATATTTTATTCTTTCCCCCTGCATTCTTCAGTTTATGTATTTTAAAGCTGAAATACAAAATAACAATTTAGGAGAAAACTTCTCCTGAAAGCATGAGCTGTCGTGTCATTCTCAAAGTACAGAGTGAGTGTGGATGACAGTAGGATGGGATATGGCACAAAGTTGTTTTTCTTGGGCCTCCAGCCCCAGTAGGTATTTTTTCCTCATACTGTAGGATCTTTGCAGTGTGTCCTATGCCATTCAGTACCTAATAAACCTCCGACTATTTCACAGTATCATAAAGATGAAAAATATTTTTATCAGCAGTAAACTTTTTCTGAGATAGAAGAGAGTGGTGAGATAATTTACCTTGTATATTTCAAACTGATTTACTGGGATCTGACCATTGGTCACATTTTCTCCAATTTCTATAAGTCGCTTTTGAATGTTTTCCACGATTATGTCTCGGGGCTGATCAGAAAGAATCTGACCAATTACATAGCTGTAAAAACAGTCCAGAAATTAAGAAAAGCTTAAGACATGCCAACTGAAACCATTACAATAATCACAATTCTCTCTTCCCTGGGTTACCTCTAGAAATTAAAGAGCCTGAAGATGAAGTCTGATGCAAAATTTATAAAAATTTGCCAAGATACTTAATGTTGTGTTTTATTTATTTACTTATTTTACTAAAAGCAAATTATTGCAAATAGTTCTAATGTTAAACAGTGATTTGGAATTGATGAGTGCAACTGGTAGCTATTTTCTGCTCCCATATCATGTTGCCATTTATAATTCCATAGCAGGTATCTTAAAATGGGGGAGACAAGAACATATCGAGTAAGTGAAGCCTTGCCTATTTCTGCAAAATGTGGTTGGAAGATCTGCCAGCTGCAGAAGAGTTAGTCACTAAAGAACACTCTCAAACATTTGTATAGCTTTAATTACTAATACATTCCTAACTTGGAAAAATTTGCTTCTATTATGATGCATCTTTTCTTAGAAAATGCAAGTCTTAAGAACAGTAAGCAAGTGTGTGGTGTATTTTTACAGATGTAAAAAAGTATTCATTTTTGGATACATTTGGACCACGAGTTATTTAAGTTAAGTTTTCAAGAGGCACTATACAACATGAGTCAGCACCCAGATGACCACCCCTCCACACACTCCAGTTTTCTTTCTGCAGTGCTAAATGTCTTGTTTCTATTGAATTTAAACAGGAAAATGCCCTGTGCAATGACAATTAATAAATAATCAATTCAGTAGCTATTATAAAGGAGTATCAGAAGAATGTAATTTGAAACATGGAAGAATCATAGACTCAACCAGGTTGGAAGAGACCTCAAAGACTATTGAGTCCAACCCTACCGTGGTTACTAGACCATGGCACTAAGTGCCACATCCAGTCTCATCTTGAAAACCTCCAGAGACAGTGAATCCACCAACTCTCTGGGCAGCACATTCCAATGCCTGAGCACTCTCTCCATAAAAAATCTGTTCCTAATGTCCAACCTAAACCTCCCCTGGCATAGCTTGAGAGAAGCAAAGGGAAAGGGATCACCTCTTCAGGCACCACCCAGTGCACTTCCAGCTTTATTAGAGGATGCTGAAGGAGCTGACCACCAGCTTCTTTAGCCATCTTGGAAATAAAGCATCTGACCTGGAACCTATGAGTCCAAATGCTGACAGCACCTACCATTTCCACAAGACATCCGCTCTGGTTTATTGAGTAGTATATACAAAATTGTGACAACTCAAAAGCACATCTTCCACAGAAGATGCAAAACCAGATAGTGACATTAGACATTCGGACTTGCACAAGTACAATCTGTTACCAATACCAAAGCAAAATGTTTACCATCTCCTACAAAAATCAGTTAGAAGTTCCAACACTCAGTTACCAATCTGAGCTCTTCAGGAAATCGCTATATGGGATCAAATGTTTATGAAGCATGTGCTGTTTAAAACAGAGAAAACAAACTCACTTTCCAGTCTCTTTTGCAAGATCACACCAGTCTCTTCGGACTATATCCAATCCTTTCAGTTCTTGTTTAGTTACGTATTTCCCATCTCCTGTTGGTTCCACAACCAGAGCAGCGTATTTCTTCTTCTTTAATAGCAGCAAGGACTTAAAAATTCCATCAATATCAATTTCCAACAATTTGTAGAGCTTGTTCACTTCACTTTTGATCTACAAAAGCACCAACATTAAAACCAAATGCAACAGCTTAATAACTATGGACAAATTTAACTTCCATCCAGAAGAGCATTAACTCAAGTTTTAAAACAAGTACCACACACACTGTTTGCATACACATTGTAAAGACTGGTCAGATATTATTAATCATTAAATTAAGTACAGTACTAACTATGAGCTACTAATAAAATGTGAAGGTTCACCCATTGGCTTCTTCAGGATTTACAGCTTGGTACAACTAACTCCTTAACAAAGTTAAGCCTGGCAGAGAAGCATGGGACTGAATGTGACCCTGAAGATAACTGACTCCAGCCTGTTCTACCATGACAGCTCCTCCATCTAGCCACTCACATAAGGGATTTCACAGTAGGGACCCCTACTTCCCAGGAAAAGATAGGAGATGGCTTCAAAAGGCACTCAATATGTTGTCTTAAGATAGCACCAAGTATCAAGTGGCTCCACATCTCCAACCTCCATTCTAAGGGGACAGAAGTGCAACAGCTCAAAGCAGAATGTACCTTCAACCACAAACTCTGGTTCCAGTACACATTCTCCTGAATGCATCTACTGCTCAATGTACCAACTAGCATGAAGGCAGAAGTATTCTAAAAAAACCAGAATCACTCTTGCCTTAAAATGACATAACTTTTGTTTAATACTATACCAAATAAAACACCTATGTTTTCTTTGGGGCCATTTTTAGACTTTCAATAGCTCTCAATTCATCACAATTTCTTCCATCTTTCAGAAACAACTTCACTTACATCTTTTCTTTTAAAAAAATCTGAAACATTTCTCACTTGTCTTCCACAATTTCAGAGAGGCAAATACTCAAATAGATCTCTTCTGTATCTAGCATACCTTGGAAATGAGTATTTGAATTTATCACTGGAAATCTAATGGTACACAGAGTATAATTCAAATGATATTCCTAAACAAAATTAAACTGACAGACAACCCTCAGGTGAAAAAACCCAATTGTGTTCACATTGGAATTAATGTGGAAGAGGAATTGTATCTTAAATTTTGGTTTAGCAAATATTGAGATAGTCTCCTGGTAAATTAGGATTGGTAAAAAAAGCTTGATATGCAATGAAATATCTCATTTAATGAGACAAATTTTAAAAATGCACAGAGTGGCCACAGCTAAAAAAGAGCACTCTCAGATTTTATTGCTTCATAGGTTCCATACATCATCAAGTTCTCCTTCGTGGCCTATTCTCTGCTTATGTCATGAAGTCCTCTCTTAATACCATCTGCTCCACTCAGTGTAGCAACACAGACATGTAGCAAAGCTTTAAAAAGAAAAATTCCTTACCTTATTCCCTAGCTTGAAGACCTCATCCAAATTGGTGCTATTAGTGTTTATCATAATGGAATCTGTGTCTCCATAAATCACTTCAAGGTTCATCTAAATGAAACAAATTGCTTTGAAAAACAAAACATAACCATTCCATCTTTCTCAAGTCCCACATCATTTTCAGGATTCACAAATATCATTATCTGTACACTATCCCTCAAATATTAAAAAGCAGTGAAATGTAAAATACGGGTTTACTGATAAGCCTGTACATTTCATCAAGACATATCTGAATTGAAAGAGAATAAAAATCTTAAATCACTGATATGTTTAAAAAAAAGAACTGTTCAGTTGAGTGTATAAGTAGTTAAAATTTTATTAAATGAATACTAGAAAGATAAGTCAGTGAACAAGTCTGATCTTGAGAAACAGCAGGAACTCTAATCAGAAATGACTTCGGACTGCTTAGACACAAGATCACTTCCACTCAAAGACTGCTGGACAAATTCAGACAAGGAATTTAGCCAATGCGCTTGGAAGATAACACCATGGTCAGGTATCCTATCCCACCTGTACCCATCCCAACACTATCAGGGAAAAAAAACCTAAACAAACAAAAAACGACTACTTAGATACTCTATTTCAAATAGATCTAGTGAAAGTATTGGCCAGTGGATAACAGTAACTGAGAATACCACAGCACTGGCCAGACTGGGCTGCTCTTCTTAGCCTTTCTCAGGTTATGCATGTGGCTTCCCACTCCCACGTTTTTACTTTTGCTGTAATCTAATTCTGTGTTACTCCTCCCCTGGGCAGCAGACCTTTCAGGGAACAGGGCACTCCTTTTGGATAATACCAAATTTTGTGTTCCCAGGCTGAACTCCTGAACGCTTGGAGATGAACACAAACACCTATTCAACATCTCCTTTCTGACTGACACTCTGCCCTTCGTGTTGCCTTCTCATTCTGACCCTTGCGGCAATTCAAATGCTCTACTTGGAAACGACTGTGCTTAAACACCAGCAAGACTTCCATAATACCCCAGGATAATGGAGCAAACTCTATAGACAAACTGAGGCATATAAAAAAGCCTGAGGTGCACATGAAAGGCATAGCAAATAAAAAGTGAAAAGAAAAATTGTCAACACCAGTAAATGTCACCAAGAAAAATGGGCAGATGCATCTAATTACATAATGTCAACTTGAAAAAAATGAAAACCTGATGCCTTCAGTGGTAGAAAATCTATGCAGCTCTAAAAACTGCAGCATGTCTATGCCCATGTTCAACTCCATGTAGTCAGAAAACCACCCTGTGTCAGAGTTTAAAGTATGCCAGAAAACAAACCATAATAAACCACTAAAACACATGGTGTAACAGGTCTATGAGTAAACTCTAATTAGCACTGTTGCTAATTTGCTGGAAACAGCCACACATAGGCTTCAAGCAGGGGCCAGATCATATCTGTGGTAGGAAAAGAAAAAAGCTATAATCCATTAGGAAGGATTACATTTGTAAACCAGGCATCCTAAGAAGTGATTTCAGGTCTGTTTGGGTTACAGTTCTCCTAGAATAAAAAAATTTCACCAGGTGTGCTCTTTAAGGGTTGTTTAATGAAAATGCCCAGCATTACCTTCTGCACCATCTCCTTGGTATGCATCAAGATCTGAAATAAAAAAAAATAATCAAAGATTAGCGTATGATATAATTACAGGCTAACACATGCAAACATATCCATTAGGTTTCTAACTCCAAATGCTCTCACCTTTCAAAACAAAGCAAACCACCTCTCTCCTGGCAACACACAGTCACTTCAATACTCCTATTACATGAGTAAATTCTCGTTTGACCTTGTATTAATGCTATTATTAACTCCCCTAAAACAAGATTAAAACAAATCTCAAAATTGCATGTGCATACACACATTCTGCCTTAGGAAAAAAAGAACACAATCAAATGCTCAAATAAAATGTAATCAGGGAGTGCCAGAACTAAGTCTCTTTCAATAATTTAGGTCAGTGATCGCCTACATATCCATCATCTTATCTCTTGATGTCAGTGAATTTTTTCCCCAAAACGTCCTGTCTTATTCAGTACCGCCTGGATGGTGCTCACTTAACAAGACTTAGTCAAAAGGTTCATTACCCTTGCAATGATCTCATAATGGGCCACCAAAAAGCAAACTCCTTAAGGAAACCAGAACTGGGACAAGGAGCTGGGATAAAGATAGGATACAGATGTTGAAGCAGTGGGCAAATCTGTGCATAACTAGGCTTGTTCCTTAGCCAAGAGTGCATCCCGAGTCCCCCAACTGCTCTGAACAGCAACTCTCTGAACCTTAGAAATAGCTCAGAGACCTCGTATGAGCAGGCTATTGCTTTCATCTCTAGTTCTGGTCAGCACAGTGGAAGAACACATATGAAGTCATTGGTACAGCTGTAGCACAGAAGAGAGGAAGTCATACTAGCTACTGAGCAGTAGAAATTAGCAGGGATGAGGAAAGAAAAAAGGACAAACAGCGAAGAGCAGGCCATGCTCAGTGGGAATAAAACCATCTACAGGGAAATCTCAGTACTTTCATAAGGCCAAGGAGTTTAAAAGGAAGCCAAGAGTCTTGGCTATCATGATACTGACTACAGCTATGGCAGTAAGCAACTCTGAAACAAAGGTGAAACATCCACTGCCACCTAACAGTCCAAAAACAGGATGACAACACTATCATTCCCCTAACCTTAAGGGTAAGCTTAGTATTTCAGAACCTTTAGACAAACACAGTGATTAATACTGAACTATGATGTTTTTTTCATTTTGATTTAAATTATGCACTGGACACTATATTCCCCCAGCATTCTTCGTTTCACAGTGCTCCTTTGCACACTTAATATTCTGCTTCAACACAGTGTTTGTTCAGACACATTTTCTAGCCACGTTCATCTTCAAAGACAGATCACTGCACCTAAGGATGGACTCATTCTCCCAAAGTACAAAGACATTAGCTCAGCAAACACAATGCACCTCTCCTTCAAGGCAGGTAAGGAAAGGTTTGGTTCCAAAGTGGGATGCCAATTTGACATGGCTGACTCACAATGAATGTCCTTATTAGGGTTATTTCCCAAGCACATACGGATACTTATGGATTTACACTCTCTGGGTCAAGTACAAAACATCCAGTTGGTTTAAAAACCATCCACTGACACTGCAAACTAGGTACTTGGACAATGAGATGCCTGAACTCTGCTGAAGTCTCAAACAGCAAAAAAGCTCAGCTCTCCTCAATCTTCTATATAGACAAAGAGGAACAGAAAAATGGTGAGTCTTAACTGCAGATTCACACTAGGCTGGAGGTGCTCAGATGCACCTGATTCCATTTTAATCAGAAGCTTACAATAGGTATTTTCATGTTCTGGTGAGTGATTCAGACAGCATGACCCCATCACCTTTCCACAGAGTTTGGAAATTACTCTGAAGACATATCACTGGTACATGACATCAAATTTCATATAAAGGAATCAAAATTCCAACATATTCACCACCCCACAACCCTTTCTTTCACTTACTAGCTAACTCCCACAGAGAAAGGTTACACCTCTCCCTTAGGACTCCAAAAGCAAACAGGAGTCCCTGAAACAAAATTTAAAAATTGGACAGAAATCAAGCATTTACACTGAAAAGAAAAGAAAGTCTATCATTTTCCCCTTGATAATCTCTGGCATTTTCTACTTCATTGTCTGAAATAATGCTATCTGTTAATAATTAGAAAGATTTTTATTTAAAAAAAAGGAATACCCCCTACTAAAAAAAATTACTTGGCTGTGCAAAAATTGTTTCTCAATTGTCCCCGAGGACAGCAGTGGGTGTAGGTAATCATAACAAGAGGGTCACAGACAAGTTAGCTTCATCAAGTGACTGACATATGCTAGTGCTACCCATTCTGACAGGAGATCACTTGTAAGTGCCAACAGCTACAAAACAGAAGGTTATAAAGTATTGCTAAATTCATTAATAAGGCAGTCGGTAGTTATCTGATTTCACAGCAACACCTGCATATTTATCGTCTCATTACCAATTGGATGATGGAATTTTTTTCAAGCACATTTCAAAAATCTGCCAACTTCAAGTGTAGAAAAAAAAATAAACTTTGTAGTTAATTTTTCCCTTAACAAAGTACAGCTGTTGAGAATAATTGTTCAAGATCTTACCCTGTAATGTCAACTGCAGCAGAACAAAGAGTATTTAATTAGCAAATCTATCCAGTAATTCAACACCTATTATATAAAATGCCTTCGTGATTTTATTCAGGATAATTTGCTAAGAGGGTTATTACTGACATTCAGATGAAATTTAAAATTCCTACGCAAGTCGAGTCATAATAGCAGTAATGATCCCCCCAATCAGGAGATACTGTGTCACACAAGGTTCTTTTGCAATGCAGCAGCCCATTTCCTGACTTCTTAATTCCTGGGCTCAGCTCAGTGAGAGCCCTTCATGCCAATATTTCAGTCAGCAATACATCCTTAATGGGACTCTATTAAAATACCTAGAATAAAAATGACTGGGGTTTTTTGTTAAAAAGAATGACAGCACTGCTATCATATCAATCCTTAGCAGCTCCTCAGAAATGCACAGCTAAGGAAGGGAGGCAGGGGAGACAGAAGAAAGAAGGAAGAGAATAGGAAAAATGTTATTGGGTAGTTTCCTTTTGCAAATAATATTGTGCTGCTCATGAGAGCTGGATTGTCTCCCATTGCAGGCAAGCCAAGTAGGAAGAATTAATTGCCTGGCAACCCATCTGTACAGCCATGCCCCTTCCCCCCCAGCAAACATATACTTCTAGAAACCTGTGAACTTCTCAGCACACTGAACGTCTGTGAAATTCTATTTTAACTTTTTTTCTTGTAAAAGCAAGACTAGCAACACACATTCCCTCACCCATGAACTGCAAGTCAATATAAACTGAAAGACTGTAATTGCAGACAAGCAATCATCAAACTGCAAAACTCCCTGTCCTAATCCTACTCCAACTCACTAATTACTCTAATTAAATGAGGTTGTGATTTAAGATAGGGAATGATTAAAAATAAATAAATATACAAAGAACAGCTTTACTATTATCCATTACATCAAGTATTTTTAAAGATTCCTTATTTAAAAACCACTGAAGAGTACCTTCTGATGAGAGGATGCTGCTGTGGAAACATGCTAAGATAGCAGAGTTAAAAACCAATGAGACAGGAAACAAAACCAATGCTGATGCAAAGATTTCTCCTGAAAGCACATTTTCGGTGGATTCCTGGGGTCACAGATGTGAAGGAACAGAAGGGGAGACTTAAGAGCAGATTGAAAAGAATGAGCAGAATCATTACAAAAATATTACACCAGAACCATATACCCAAAACAAATCAGGCATCCACTTTGCACAAGGAAAAAAATGAGCAGTCTTAAGGCCTTGGCAAAAACTGTATTTTTGAAGACTACCTGCAGTTATCTAGAGTAGACCTGATAATTTCCACCTCATTTGTTTACTTGTGCAATTACATATTAGGAAAAGAATTCTGTCATCTGCTTTAGTAATTCGTATTAGCGAATTACTTCCCATGACACAGAGGAATAAACAGGCTGGAAGAACTGTGTTCCAGCAACACCACTCACTAATCTACCAAAGTATTTCTGATTCTCTGTATTTTTGCAACTTATTCATTAGATTTGCTGGGATTTTGTGCTAAGGAGCCTCTAGCATCGATAAACCACAGCCACAGGATGCTACAAAAAGATTTTATTAAGAAAGATTTTCAAAATAGGTTTCTATCACTGGACAAAAAGGAACATGTGCCCTAAGCATAAGTGGAAGAAAGATGGAAGCCTTGTTTGCCAGAAGGAAAGAAGCATCAACATACAGCCTTTGTACCAGACAATGGACTTGATTTAGAAAAGTTTGAGTGATCAGATTCAAGCAGCCAATAAATAAGTTTGTTACAAAGAGCTTTTACTGAGTATTTGCTCTACTTAGACAACACATTCCAAGTCAGGTTTCTCCAAAACGTACTCTTAGGAAACATTAACAGCCTCAGAAATACAGCCCATGCTGCCAAAAGTTTCCTCTGTTGTTTGGGTTTTTTCTTCAGAAATGCTGAAATTACCTGTCCATATACTCCACAAAGTTGACAGACTGTAATACAACTTTCACAGTGTATAAATTCTGTGTCTAAACCCAGTATTGGATGGAGCACCAAAACCAAAGGGAGAATGGTTCCAAGGCCTGAAGTACACAAAGATCCAGTGACACATGCTTACATACCAACAAAAGGTAGAATCTTTTGCCTCCCAAACAATAGAAAATGCACAAAAAAGGCAGCAACAGAACTGTGCTGAACACAACAAAAATCATGTATACCTTTGTCACATTTTGACAAGGAATGCAAAGACAACAGTACAACACTGAAGATGATGACGTGATTCAACATACAACTTGAAGACAATGTTCCCTTGGTGCCAGAAACAATTGTATCTTTAAAATTCTACAGCACCTCTATTTCAAGTGGCTGTGGTGACTTTCACTGATGAGAACAGGAAAATCAGATTTCATTTCTTACTGAGTTGCAAAATTATTGGTTATTCTGCATGATACATTACAGACTATGCTAAACTAAAGCAAATTTTGCCTGTTCT